CTGTTCTCTCATTAATACACCTAATATTGTGCTACTGACGGTGTTGTACTATAGAGTGATATCCAGCGGTGTGTGACCATCAGATAATCTGAAAAATGTTGAAAATGTGTTGTGAGCAAGAAGCTGTTAACTATGGAGTTAAGACACAAACAGACGTCAATCACAATCGGCATATGAATCTCAATGGAGTATGATGAGTGTTGATGTCTGAGTGTGTTCAATTTTTACAAGAAAGATTAAGCATTTTTGTAAGATATCTCAGATCTTGAAGGCTAATTTGTTTGGCAATTCCCCCCCCCCTATTCATTAATGCTCCAACTTCATAATTATTTAATTCAATCTCAAAACTACAGGAAAACCAGATTGTTAATTCACTGATTTCACTGCCATTAACACACGTTGACCTGCTTTTACATTAGTATCTTTCCCTATCAAAGCAGCAATGTTCTCTGAAAACAATATTGCAATTGCTGCTGCTACTGCAAAAAAAAAAAAAAACAGTCAAGGGGCCAAGTGCACAACTAAAGGAAACACTAATCGCCATAATGGTGACATTAAATAAAACATTCAATAAAACATCAACATCTAAACTTCTGTTACTGCTATTAACACTTTAGATTGGACCCATATAGACATCGAGTAGTGTTCATTTATGACTGAGGATTTTGCTGTGTATCAAATCTCTATAACGATTTCCATTGTATTAATTAGTACAGTTTTTGAGGACTTTACTGTAAATGTTGAGTTGTGAATGTTGTAACAAATTAGCTCTATAAAATATTAATAATCAATAATAACTTGTTATGATTAATTATGAATATTTGGGTCAGTAAATTGGATTAACTTGATGTGGCTAAATTAATATTTCAATCAATTAATCAGTTCGTCCAACGAACTCTTTTGATTATTCATTTATTCCAAGAAAAGGGTATCTTCCATGGCTATAGAAGAATAATTATTTCTTAGCATGTACATCGCTTAGAGCATGTAACAAGATCAAGATCGTAAAAGAAACTTTGTTTGCAAGCAGTGAATCAGAACCAAATACATATTGTGCACAAGTTTTATTAACTAAATCACAAACATAACTAAACTAAACAAACATACATACATACATACATACCAGAGTTCTGCTAGAAAAAAATGGTGCCTGTCAAAGTGACCGGCAGAGGTTTTGTTTTACGGACATTTTGATGATGCCGGTCAAATATCGCCTCTTAAGTTGAGGAAAACTGGAGAATGCAACATGTTATTATTAGCCTAACTTTCAAATAGACGTCAATCAACACCAATTGTTTTTTACTATGGTTTCACACACATTCACTTTTTGAAACATTGAGGCACGGATGTACCTAATACAAATAAATAAAACATCTCCAGTTAACTAGCAGATCATTCATTTAGTTCGCTATTAAATAAGAGATCTAGCGCTAAAATCTGTTGTTTTTTAAATCAAGCTGAGCACTCGTGTCCGCTGCTATCAGTTGCATGGACGACGTGCTGCGCTGCGCGTGTTGCGCAATCTTCACTCGGACGCGCGTTTCAATCTATCGCCATTGCGGAAACTCTCTATTCATTCCGGTGAAATCACTAAATAAAATGCACACAAACGTGTCCCTGCTTGATATAGGCTGTAACCACTGATGAACATAGGCTATTCAGTTTTGATGAGAGAAAATAATGAGATGTTCCTGATTCACCATCGTCCGTCGCGTCTGGCCTCTGAAAAAAGCTTTTAAGGCTACACAGCAAATTCCTCAGTGTTAAATTATTTAAAGTGTGAATTATATCAACTCTGAGCAGAGTGTTAAATGAACACTGAAGCAATAATTGAGTGATGATTAAGCATAATTGAAGACCCCTGATGTTAACAAGCAGAATCACTGAAGGAGAAAACCGGAATTTTGAGTCACCATTATGGTGATCAGTGTTTGTTTTAGTTGGGCTCTTGACCCTTAAATCAATAACTTTAGATTTTGTTTGGCTGCTGTACATGAGTTATAACAGCCAGATGAACACATAGACAAGGTGATCTGATGTTGTTGGTTGTGTTTTAACATAATTGTTATTTCTCAATCAATATAAAGACCAATTTCTGAATTTGGCTTACTTTAATAATTGAAGCAGCATTGTCCTTGTACAATATAATGTTTTTAACTTTTACAATGTAATCAAAATATATTTTTTTAAACTTTTGCTTATTAAAAAAAAACCTTTTTTAGACACAGTCATCAAGAATCAGACTGTGAATCTCAACAATGGTGACAATTAAAAATCATGTTGCAGTGCATTCTGGGTGGCACCAATCAAAACTCATTTATGGCTCCTATCATGCATTGCTGCATGAATAAATAATGAGCTTATGTTTAGAAGTGGTCTGTTTGACACCATTGCTGAGATTAATACGCTAATTATTGATGTCTGTGTGGGCCGACATAAAATATTTTTTGGAAGTGGTTTTATTTTTATTGATTTGATCATTTCATTTTCATTAAAAACGGTATGCTCTACAATGACAGTGCCTCTATAATTCATAAGGTAAACTTGACTTAGAAATTATGCTCTCAATGAGATCAGAGATTCAGGTCAAATAATGATTATGTTAAAACACAACCAACACCATCAGATCACCTTTTCTAATTGTTAATCTGGCTGTTATAAGTCAGGTACAGTAACCAAATAAAATTTAAAGTTAATGATTTAAGGGTCAAGAGCCCAACTAAAATAAACACTGATCACCATATTGGTGACTTAAAGAAATCCGGTTTTCTCTTTCAGTGAATCTGTCACATGTCAGCCAAGAGCAAAGAAATAAACCAGAACTGGACCTTATCTAAGCCACACAATCTGTGCATATTAAATATGGAGTCATCTCAGTCTTAATACGCCTGTTAATAAGCAGAATCACTGAAGGAAAGAAGAGAACAGACAAAGAGACGAGCAGAAACACAAGAACTACAAATGACTTCAGACTAGAGCTGTCACTTTACGTTCGAAAATCGATTGTACAATCGATCGGACCGACCAACACAAGTATCGAAAACGAAAATAGGGAATCGATTTTAACGGCCTTCTCTCGGAGAGCGTCCAGCTCGTCACGACACGCCCGCAGCGAACGCGCGTCACACAGCAACTGCAGGCTCTGACAAACACACATACAAACTATACTATACTTCTAGCCTGGTTCTACCAGACCCTCGTACATTTCATTTGTACAGAGAGTCTGGCCTCGCTCCATTGAGAAACATTTACTTCCTTGTAGACGGGTTCTCTGTTAAAGTTCAAAACTATTGGATCTGCCCAGAGTCACTCAGGATCTGCCATAGCCAATCGCCAACGTGTGGTCGTGACGTATGTCATGCGCCGAAACCGGCTGGAAACAAGTCCGAATTCCATATTCATAAATCTAAATATCTAAATGCTAAACCTCTCTTTCTTACATTTGTGAAAGAATTTTTAAAAATACCTCTTTTCAATTAAGTTGTCTGAGAACAAAAAAAGCCTTAAAAACATTATCTGTTTGTAATTATTTTCCTTTTTTCAGTGTCATGTAATTCTCTTAACTTGTTAATGTTTCATTTATATTATCCCCCTATTGTTTTATTTTTGTTTTGTTTATTATTATTTTTTTTTTTTTTGTATTATGTTTTCTGTTATTACTTGTGTATTGTTTTAAGCAATAAAAAAAAACAAGTCTGAATGATCAGAGGATTATGTTTAGAATAAGATGTCTGTCAACGAGAGCTGCATGTTTTGTTCATCGAATTTAAGAGTTCAAGGAACAATTCTAAATGTATATTTCACACTAAGGACAGTGACGTATTCAGTCAACTGTCGAAGCTGGGTGTAATCATTAACAATACGCCGCTGCGGTCGTTTCGGATCTGCCGCAAATGCTGTACAGTGATCATCGTGCACGCCGAGCTGCCCAGCACGAACTCCTTACCTTTCTGCCTCCCTCACTTGGTCCTCCATTAGTGCAACAAGAAGAGACGACAACAACTATAGGCTTTGCATCCCTGTCGTTCGCCTTAGCTAACTCATTCACCACTAGCGGAGTGAGCTGGAAAATTAAACTTTTTCCGAACCCCGTGGGGAGGAGGGCCACAACATCATGGCCACCAACAACACTTAGCAAACATTGATCTTGCTCCGGCTTTAACTTCTGTATATTCGGAAGTTTTGCAACAACGGACCGAATAGATTTTCTCACGTCTTTCTCCGCTGCCGTTACTGAACTCCAACTCAAACTGACGCGCTACATCGTTCTCAGCCACTCCCTCTATTCGCTGATTGGTCCTACAAAAAATTGATTTCTGGAAACCTAAGAATACACAGCAGTCCCAGACGTAGTACTGAAGGAAAATGAAATTGAGCGGAAGTGCGTAGGAGGGCGGAGCCAGGCTACTATACTTCTGCATAATGTGTCTCTTTTTACAACAAAAATGTGAATTCTGCCGGTATTCAGACAGTCTCATGCATACAGATACAGATTCGCCCTACAATCGCCTACGTAGGTGAAATTTGTTTGACACTTCTAATCGTAAACACAGCCATGTTGAAGCCTGCAGTAATGTTTTTCATTGATGTTATGGCAGTCCACTCTGCTTATTGTTTTTCGAGAATCTTGCACTCATGTTTGTCATTGTGCACGAAACTTCATGCCAATAAATCATCAGGAATATTGCTGACTTGTGCGCCTCTCAAGCGCACTCTTTACGTTCGTCCTAATGCTTGTTAGTTGTCCGTGGATTTGCCTATACACTGTATAATGTGATTAAAATCATAGTGCTCTACATATCTTATTGATTTTATGTTTACTCTGATTATGAGCATAATCACATAATTGCAGTATTCTGTTTACATGAACTAAAGTTTAAATCACAGCATTGCCTTAATTGGATTATACAGGAATTGCATTATGAGGGTGCATCTAAACAATATTTGACTAAAAGTCAACACGTTCATCTTTAACTTCATCTCCCCTTGTGTTTCTGCAGGTCCCTGAACGTTTCTTGGAGGTAACTCAGATTGCGCTACGCGAGTTCTTCAATGCCATAGTGGCCTGTAGAGATGCGGATCCATCGTGGAAGAAGGCCATTTATAAAGTCATCTGCAAACTGGACTCTGAGGTTCCAGATTTATTTAAATCGCCCAGTCGTCTTCAGGAACTTCTACATGATTAACGTTACAAAACATCACTAAAATGCTTTTCTACCCTTTTTTAATGTATATTAATAATTTGAGTTGCAGGATTTTACCTGTTTGTTTTTAAGTATTTTTCTGGCTTTTCACAGTTGAATGTACTATATAAAAAAAACATTTTATTTATTAATGTTATCATTTGGTAACCTTTTGAAGTATATCTCTAGTTAATGCAGCCTTTTGATTGTGGATTGTCTCAGAGTCCTGGTGTGAGAAATTCAAATTTTGTAGTGTGTTTTTTTTTTTCATTGAATGTGAAGGATGAACAGAATTAAGGTGAACTCATTTTTATCATTAATTTTATGTACCTTTTTATGTATTCCTGCTTTAAGGTTTTCTATTTGTTCTGTGGTAACCAAAACTTATTATTATTTCAAAATATAGAACTCAATATGCAAATGTATACTACTGAAAGATAAGTGAAAGAGACAGAAAGAAACATTTTTTTCTTTCCCTTCTTTTGTGGTTTGTTGGGGTGACAGCTTATTATGCTAAACAGAGTAGTCTTGCCCTCTTGTCTGTGCTTGCTTTACAGCACTATACCTCACAACATAGAACACAATTGTGCTCACTGTTTGAGATAAAAAGCTGACACAGTTGGAAATGCCTCTGCTATTGTTACGGTATTGTGCGGGTAGAAGAAGAAGGCTGAGTCAAAAAGCTCCAAATCAAACAGTTTTACTGATCAAACTCACAGGTACAGACAGGCAGGCAGAATGACGGGCAGAAACACACACAAAACACATCCATATAACTTTAACAACCGACCAGGACAGACTGAACAGAAGCAAACTAAATACAAGCATGAATCAAACATAACAAGGTGAAAACAGGTGACACTGATGATGATAACAAGGGACAGGCTGGTAAGTGAGGGAGTGAGTTCCGGTGTGGAGACAAGAAGGATTCTGGGAAGTGTAGTGAAGATGACTAAGACAGACAGGTGCAGACGAAGACTGTGACTGAACGCCCCCCTTCAACAAGGCGCGACCTCGCGCCGTAGAACATCAATGGGGTGGGGGGGCGGGCGCCCTGAAGGCTGGCCAGGGCGTGGCCAAACTGGGACGGGAAGCCTCCAGGGCGGATCAGGAAGTGCAGGCGGCCAGGGCGGAGCAGGATGTGGGCGTGGCCAGGGCGGAGCAGGACGTGGGCGTGGCCATGGCGGAGCAGGACGTGGGCGTGGCCATGGCGGAGCAGGACGTGGGCGTGGCCATGGCGGAGCAGGACGTGGGCAGGGCGGACATGGGCGTGGCCAGGGCGGAGCAGGACGTGGGCGTGGCCAGGATGGAGCAGGACGTGGACGTGGCCATGGCGGTGCGGACCCTTCGGGCGGCCATGGCGGTGCGGACCCTTCGGGCGGCCATGGCGGTGCGGACCCTTCGGGCGGCACTGGCGGTGCGGACCCTTCGGGCGGCACTGGCGGTGCGGACCCTTCGGGCGGCCATGGCGGTGCGGACCCTTCGGGCGGCCATGGCGGTGCGGACCCTTCGGGCGGCCATGGCGGTGCGGACCCTTCGGGCGGCCATGGCGGTGCGGACCCTTCGGGCGGCCATGGCGGTGCGGACCCTTCGGGCGGCCATGGCGGTGCGGACCCTTCGGGCGGCCATGGCGGTGCGGACCCTTCGGGCGGCCATGGCGGTGAGGACCCTTCGGGCGGCCATGGCGGTGAGGACCCTTCGGGCGGCCATGGCGAGGGCCTATGGCCCCCCCCCAAAAAATTAATGGGGAGAGTGACAGAGTCATTACAAGTCTCTGGACTGGACGGAACCAGCGGTGAAGGGGTCTCTGGGCTGGACGGGACCAGCGGTGAAGGGGTCTCTGGGCTGGACGGGACCAGCGGTGAAGGGGTCTCTGGGCTGGACGGGACCAGCGGTGAAGGGGTCTCTGGGCTGGACGGGACCAGCGGTGAAGGGGTCTCTGGGCTGGACGGGACCAGCGGTGAAGGGGTCTCTGGGCTGGACGGGACCAGCGGTGAAGGGGTCTCTGGGCTGGACGGGACCAGCGGTGAAGGGGTCTCTGGGCTGGACGGGACCAGCGGTGAAGGGGTCTCTGGGCTGGACGGGACCAGCGGTGAAGGGGTCTCTGGGCTGGACGGGACCAGCGGTGAAGGGGTCTCTGGGCTGGACGGGACCAGCGGCGAAGGGGTCTCTGGGCTGGACGGGACCAGCGGCGAAGGGGTCTCAGGGCTGGACTGGACCAGCGGCGAAGGAAGCTCAGGGCTGGACGGGACCAGCGGCGAAGGGGTCTCTGGGCTGGACGGGACCAGCGGCGAATGCTTGATGCAGGACGGATCTGTCTCAGGCTGGGCAGGCATGACGTGAATCGTCTCAGGCTGGGCAGGCATGACGTGAACCGTCTCTGGCTGGGCAGGCTGGACGCGAATCATCTCTGGCTGGGCAGGCTGGACGTGAATCGTCTCTGGCGCAGGATCAGCGGGCTCTGGCGCAGGATCAGCGGGCTCTGCTGGATCCTGGGTGAGGATGGACGGCGTGGCGAAGATGGCTGGAGGCATCACTTGGGTGACGGTGATGCGGATACCTCTCTCCATCAGGATCCTGATGAGGTATTCCGTCAGGTCACGGCTAGCCAAGTCCATATTTTGTTTGGTCGGTTGTTCTGTTACGGTATTGTGCGGGTAGAAGAAGAAGGCTGAGTCAAAAAGCTCCAAATCAAACAGTTTTACTGATCAAACTCACAGGTACAGACAGGCAGGCAGAATGACGGGCAGAAACACACACAAAACACATCCATATAACTTTAACAACCGACCAGGACAGACTGAACAGAAGCAAACTAAATACAAGCATGAATCAAACATAACAAGGTGAAAACAGGTGACACTGATGATGATAACAAGGGACAGGCTGGTAAGTGAGGGAGTGAGTTCAGGTGTGGAGACAAGAAGGATTCTGGGAAGTGTAGTGAAGATGACTAAGACAGACAGGTGCAGACGAAGACTGTGACAGCTATCAGCAAATTCATCAGCATATTCCTCAATCAGACTGTGCGTGCACTTGGCCCTTGTACAGCTCTATCAGTATGCCTCACTAAACCAGATGTAAGGAGAGTGGAGTCACTAAGTCCTAAGTCCCTCCTGGATGACTGTAGCATAGCTAAAAAATGTCATCTCAAAAAGCCAACAAGAGCAAATGGAAGTGTCTGTTGTTGCCTCTTTTAAAAAGAGATCCCAACCATTTGGTGAGAGTGTTTGTACATTCATATATGTCTAAAATTGAAACTGAAAGTGGCTCCAGCTTGTGTGGTTGATCTCTTATTTTAATTCCTTCTTGTCATGCAGTACACACATTTGTGAATGAACAGTTACTGACAAGATCAGTTCAATCACTTTGAACTGAGATACAGATAGCAATTTTATGTGTGCTGCAACTAAAGTTACGACACTGATTTTGTAATAAAGATTTGAAGCTTGTTTGACTTGTTTTATTCTGGTTTTACAGAATACACCTACAATTACTTAAGCTGTAAATCAGGCGACTGAGGCAAAATGGTTGGGAGTTAAATATGTTCCCAGAGTCTTATTTTCCCAGGGTAAACATACGTTCTTTTTACCCTACAACAGGGGTGCCAATTCATGGAGGGCCAATGTCTTGCAGAGTTTAGCTGCAACCTTCCAGCTGACAACATTAAAAGGCTTTTATTAATGTTAGTATGATGTTCCTGAAACGATTCTTTAACTTAATTTTTCCTCTGACATTTGTTTTCTGAACACACTTCTAAAGCAGCTAGAAAAAAGATAACAGTCAAGGGTCAAGAGCCCACAGTAAACACTAATTACCACAATGGTGACTTCAAATGTTTGTTTCTCTTTCCTTCAGTGTCATCACTTATGATAAATCATCACTTAATTATCCAATAAACTCCAACACTGCTTCAGTTTCAGGGGCTGTTTACACGACACCGTTTTCAACAAAAAAACGTAAAACTTTTTATGCATTTTGGCAGTTCGTTTACACGACAACAGCGTTTTAGGCGCCTGAAAATGTAATGTTTTGAAAACGGTCTCCATGTAAACAACAAAAACGCAAATCTCTGACGACGATGACGTATTACGTGTTCAGTCTGAAGTGTCTCATCGCAATCTAATGGCCTGGCAGCAGAATACAGCGTTTTTAGTCGTTTTCGCGGATCCATGTGAATGTGGATCGTTCTGACAATGATATCGTCTGTATGCGGGAAACTCAAAGGAAAAATGTCTTTGTTTTAAGCATATCGGTGTTGTGTAAACATACCCTAAGATTCTGTAGGCCTACTGTGGAAACATATGAACAGTGAGCGGTGTTCATTAAACACAGGGGACTTTGTTGTTTAACATCCAACCTTAAGCCTTTTTTTTTTTTTTGCCAGAAAGTCAGTTAACACGTTGATCTCACAGTGATCTCTCCATATGATCACAATGTGAGGTCACAGTGAGCTAAAAGTGTAACCTCACTGTGCACTCACTGCCCATATTATGCATCACATTTGTTTTATTTTCCTTTACCACAGAAATGTTTATTATAAAAATACCATTACATCAACCAGAGAAAAAAAATGTCAAGGGTCAAGAGCCCAACTAAAGGAAACACTAATTCCATTTTACAAAAAAGGATCAACATTAATTAGAGCTAGTTTATAAGATGCTTAGACTGTGGTGGAGGGGGGAACCCCTTTGAGAGGAACACTATTGGGGAAGCCCATTCTCTTCTAGCATTGCAATGATTTTAAAAATCGATTTACAGCTGATTGAATATAATGTTGGTGTATTTTCAATATATAAATAAGGCGAATTTCAAACTGTAAGGATAATGGTGTAATGATGTAAAAAAAAAAAAAAAAAGATTAGTAAGTAGGTTTTGTTAAGTCTGTAATAAAAAGACTGGGTGATGCAGGTAGTGCAGTGAAGTGTCCTTTGCAATGTTCCCTATTTTATTCATTGTTGTAACAAACCTCCGACAGAAGAGGGCGAGATTTCACTAAAAACGGACAGGTGGCTCTGAGCACAATCCAGTTCTGAATCAGCTGCTGGGACGCCGCTTTTCTCCGGATGTTCCCCGACCATCCCCCGACGGCTTTCAGCTCCTCCC